TTACTATTGTCTGTCCTTGGTGTAACACTTCCAATAATATCAATCCGTAAGTTTTTAGTTTTAATACTGTTTTTTCAAATAAAAGAAGAAAATTAATATCAATGATGATATTAGATATTATATCTTGCTAATTATTAAATTTTTTGTATTATTGTATTATATTTGTATATTTCATATTACATTTACTAGAAATATTTACGTGAAAATTATGAAAGAAAAGTCTAAGAAGAGCCATCATTGCGTTAATTGCAGCGCCAAACTATCTGCAGATACATTAAGTGTCAAGAGATTTTACGATGATATTGAAAAGTTCCAAAAAGAAAAGAGTCTTGTAGCGTATGTATATCTGCTAACATTCTTATTTGAATTTTAAGTATAATATATAAATTGTAACTGTTGTCTTTGTAGTGGTACCTTGCTGGATACGGAAACCGGAGAATATCGACCTGATATTGCTTTAAAAGAATGCTTCATATTATTTTCAGAAGCCAATTTTAAGAAGAAAGTTGATCTGAAACAATTTCATTGGGACTTAGCATTATCCGATATCAAGCGCGTGGCAAGCCGTCTCCGAGCATTACAAAAGCTTCAAAATATCCGCCGTATAACTATCTTCAGGATCATTTCTTCTTATACATATATTCCATTTCCTTTCTCGATCGATCTCATTGACGCAGTGATTCGCCAGAGAGAATTCACGAATAAAATGTTCAAACTCGCATGGAGTAATCATACCCGTATTTTGAACCAATCAACCATTAGATATTACAAATTTCTCCTTTTGATGAAGGATAGACCTGACAAGTGTCACGTTCCCACATTAGACATTGATCTTGGATGGCATACACACATGTTATATTCACCGTTGTATCGCAATTTCACTTCTAAACTAATGAATAGAATTATTAATCATGACGATACCATTCCTGGACCAAGACTTAGTAATGCTTTTGCTTTCACAGCTAAAGCTTGGTATGAGAAATACCAGGAAACCTACACTATTGAGAATCCGTCAAATTACTTGTTGAGCATGCCAAAAAAGATTGCAGGTATACTTTTACCACCTTATGGTGCTTACCTCATTTGGAAGATGAAGAATGTTAGGAAGGAAATGGAGAAAACAAAGGCGAAGAAAATGTTAGACGAGAATGAAAAAACAGTATTAAAACTAAAAACTTACGGATTGATATTATTGGAAGTGTTACACCAAGGACAGACAATAGTAA